ATGTTAGGAAGACGGCTCTGCCTCCAGGATGATGGACGGCTCGTAAAACGTGCTTCGCTCCGAGGGTCTCCGGGGCTTCCTCGCGAGGCAGCGCTCCCAGATTGATCCAATAGAGAGCTCATTTACAGCAGCCGCTTTCACCTTGGAAGGAAAATCCTGAAACGCTCTCAGCACAGATGCTCACACAGATGAAATCATTTACCAAAAATCACACTGCCAAGATGTGGAACTTTTTTTAAATTTTACCTCCTCAGATTTCTACTTTGACTGGGCTGTTTCAATATGATTATTCATTAAACCCTTGATGTCCCCCAAGGGTCCATCTCAGGCCCCCTCCTATTCTATATCTACATGCATAAGTTATCCCAACTATGCAGATGATACACAGGTATACATTATAATGTAACCAGGGTATTATAAACCCATTCCAGTGCTGCGTAAAAGTGTAGAAGAAAACAAAGCACGGATGTGCCATCATTTTCTTCAGTTGAATTAAAACAAAATGGAAGTAGTCATTTTTGAACCAATGTCAGAGCGTTTAGTACTGAGCTTCAGATAATCCTGCTAAATGGGTGTAGAATGATGGACTCAGACCTGAAACTTCAGAGGCTCATAAAGACAGAAAAAAGTCGGCCTTTTATCACCTAAAGAACATCTTCACGTTTAAAGGACTAATGTCTCAGATCTTTGAAAAATAATATCTGAGACTGAAAGGGAGGTGAAAGGGGAGAGGGAATAAGAATGAAGGGAGAGAGAAAAAAGAGGAGAGAAAAGAGAAAAAAGAGGAAAATACCAAAACAAGACAGCATAATAAACAATGCAGAACACATACAGTACCTCCTAGAAGTCTGCTTTCACACCCGTATGAGACAAAAGGGAAAGAAAACAGAAAACATAACAAGAGAACCAAGTAAACATCAAAGTAGCTTCAAGAGCAGTGAGTATCCCTTAGCTATCCAGTTAGTATATGTGTATGGAAAGTGAAACCTACAGTGATTACAAAACATAATTCAGGGTTTTATATATCTGTAGCTGCAGCGTAGTATTTAGTATTGTGTATCCATGAGCACCTGGAACCAAGCTCCTGTGATTTGTATGCATGGGTATGCTCACGTATGAAGGATTTACAAAGCTACTTTACAAAGAAAATATGCTCAATAGCAGGTGTGGGCGGCCCCAGACTCACCCTATAGAGTTCATCTTTACCAGATTACTGAAACGTATGTTCGCAGGTCTGCCTAAAAAGCTCCTCAAGCAGCTGCAGCTGATACAGAACACTACTGCTTGTGTCCTCACTAAGACTTAGAAAGTGGAGAACATCAGCTCAGTTTTAAAGTCCTTCCACCAGCTCTCCGTACCTCAGAATAGAATATGAAATACGTCTGTTAGTCTTTAAATCACTGAATGGCTGCATTAGGGATGAAACAGTTAACCAGATTGATTATTGGTCAATAAATCAATAAATTAAATAATTGACTACCTATTTAGTAATCGATTGATCATTAAATGATAATATACATAAACTTAAACACATGACATTAGCTGAAAAAGCGAATAATTAAAACAAAAATATATAAATATTTTCCATTTAATATAAAAAAAAAGGAAGTTCTTAAGTGGTGTAGTTTTAGTTTGCCTGGTTTCAATTCTCAATAAAATATTCCTTTTAGGCACCTTTTGCCTTCCAATGATTAATCAGTTATTAAAATATGGTTAACTACAGCCCTACTATGGGTACCCAGAACTCAACGTGTAGAAGAAGCGTTAAAAACATTTATTTTGGGTCCTTTGACCTTTTGACTTTTTCAGTCCACCATTTATTTCATTTTTTTTCAATCATTTTATCTTATTTTAATATAATCATCTTGATTTAACAATTCATTTTTATTCTCTTTCAGTTTTTGTGTTCTTTATGTCACCTCAATGCACTTTTCTTTTCCTTCTCTTGTACAGCGCCTTGAATTTTGATATTTTTATAAACTGGGTGGGTTTGATTATATTATTTTTGTTAAACTAAATAACATACCGGTACATTATATTCCATACATCTTGGTCAGGGTTTTTTAAATGCAGCTGAAGGTTTCACGTTCACACCTGACTCAGATTATAGTCCTCAACATAAAAAGGTCAGCCAGTGATGAAAGGGGAGGGCTGGAGGAAAAGGTGAGTTTATCACAACTGATTTTATCAACCCCCCCCTGGGCTCCGGCTCGGTAAAAGATTGTTACCTTGGCAGCAAGGTCGTCGGTTTGAATCCCATCGTGGGGGACTCTCTCTTCTGAGATTCTGTGATCTTACCTGGTTTCTGAAGGTGAACTTCTGTTCTACTTTCAAGTCTTTTGCTTCGTCTACTGGGAATGAGCTCCATCCATCATCCTAGTTTAGTCAAGCCAGATTCCCTGTCTCTTCTATTTGAAGGTGTTTCTTTTTCTCACTATTGTTCTCCAACAAACGTCTTACCTAAGTAATGGTTTATTAGTTTTTTAACTTTTTGAACAACTTCTGAAGGCAGGCTGCTCTGCTTTTCATGTTTTACTAACAAAATAGCCACATTTTTATTTTATCTTAAATGTGCATAATTTTTTTCTCAACTTCAAATGTATGTGCTGTTTAAATCATTGAAAGCCTTGAGGTTAAATGATAGTTTCAAAGATTGAGATTTTTAAAATTAAAATTTTGCCAAACAAAGGTCATATAAAAGTATAGCTGAATGATTTCTGTCGCTCTAGTCCAGAATCGCTTCATGTGTTCATTCTGTTCTCTGAAGTTGAATTCTCCAGGTTTCCTGTCAGAAACACGACAAAAACGTCCGAAAAAGAAGTTGGAGCTAGCTGGGGCTGAAACAAATAATCCCAATCACTGTGATTAAACCTGTTTTAAAAAAATCATTAACTAATTAATCATTGAAATGATAATTGAGTATAACAAATTAAAAACATGCTTAGAGAGATTATTAAACGTAAACTTTATTTAAAACATATACGTATTTGAGTTAAGATGATAAACCTGGCTTACGTGTCAATCTGCTCCTCCATTAATGTGGTTTCACCTTCACAAAAGTGATTAATGTGTTAGCACTGACCTGAGTTCGACGTTCATGATGAGGTTGTTTTGTTGACAGCAAACAGACAGGACTGTTAAACATCAGTAAATATACGAGTATGTTTGTTTCACTTGGGAGATTAACTGTCAATTGATGGTTTATTAGATTAATTTTTTTTCAATCCAGTTAATTGAAAATGTCCTCATAGGATATTTTTTCCAGTTCTTGTAATGTTACTGTTATCTGCCAGAGGGCGCTGATGTTTATCCTTAGGAAGAGACTTACTGGTATTTGGAAGAGAAGTAATGCAAGAACGGAGGCATTCTGTAGCGTAAATCAATCCACAACACGGTCCGGGATTGTTTACACTCTTTACACTGTATGTGGTTCTGTTTGTATATATTAATACTCGATAAACTAAAGTAGCTCCATTTAACCACCCGTTTGAAAATGACACTAACACAAAGCTACTCTGGATTACTTTAGAAACACAGAGCTACATCAAAGTTAACGTCCATTTTTAAAGTGAAGTGACAAATAGCCTGACAGTGTGTTGGAGCGACATACCCTGTCTGTTAATGAAGGTTTTACATGAAGTATTTCACATGTTTTATTCCATGTTTTTCATTTAGTAACCTTATAGGTTCCTGTTTTGTTATAAATTATAAATATGTCTAGTTTAGTAATGCATCAGAAAACTGTTTTCTTTATTCCGTCTTTATTTAATACAACTGGCACTATAAACTGTTTAAATATAATGATCTATTATCTTTTTTAAATTAGGCATATTATATAAAAGTATGGGCTGCTCAATGCGCAGTGGGTAGCACTGCTGCCTTGCATCAAGACGGTTCGATTCCCGTCTTTCTGCATGGACTTTGCATGTTCTCCCTGAGCATGTGTGGGTTCTCTCTGGTTACTCTGGCTTCCTCCCACAGTCCAAAAACATGACTGTTAGGTTAATTGGCTTCTCTAAATTCTCCTTAGGTGTTTGTCCTGTGTGTCTCAGTGTTGCCCTGCAGTTGACTGGCGACCTGTCCAGGGTGGACCCCGCCTCTCGCCCATTGACTGCTGGAGATAGGCACCAGCACCCCTTGCGACCCCACTTGGGATTAAGCGTGTTAGAGGATGGATGGATATAAAACTATATTTAGGGCTGTATGTTAATGGAAAGAGAAAACTCTGGTGTTTTACCTGTTAACTGTCCCGCCCCGCCCATGTGACTGAGGTCTAAAGTGGTGATTTTGGTTTAGCCAGTTAACAGGTTGAAAAAAATGTCGGCTTATCAATTAATCATGAGTTTCATTTATTATTCGATAACCTGCATGCCTCAGTTTTAACACATAAAAGAAATATATTTTATCAGCTTGTATCAGCTAAAAGGTAGCTAGCACCAAACGGCTAAAAATGCCTCCCTCTTAACTCCTGCCACCTACTGGTGAGACACATGTATAACAGCATGTTTGGTTGGCCTCCCGCACAGATTCAGTCCTAGTAGTGAAAGGTAGGGGCCTTGGTTCATTTTTTTAGCAGTATTCCTCTGGTCTGGATGGGATCCCGCTGCAGGTTGCCAATATGCCGAACAGACGTAGGAACAAGGACGGCTGGGAAGAGATAAGGGCATCGTGTTTACTCTAATATGCCAGCGAGTCTGAGGGTAGATCAACAAAGGAGGCAGCAATCGCTCCAGGCAGATTAACTTGCAATGGACTCATCTTCATTCATCACGCTGCTTTTCTGCATGACGCACACAGACACATTTAAAACACACACACGCTGAAAAACAGCCTGATTCTTCCTGCCGTTCCACCTGATGTTTTGTGGTATAAGAAAAGTGATTTCAGCTCTCCTCCTTTCTAATATTTATGGGGATATTAGTCAAATCGTGAGGGCATAAAAGGAAAAGTTTTAGAGACTGACTTTATCTTCTTTCTTTCTATTTCCTTTGTTTCTCTAGAGGGGCGTTTTCAGAGGTGGTCCTGGCCCAAGAGAAGCTGAGCGGCCGCATGTTCGCCGTCAAATGCATCCCCAAGAAGGCTCTGAAGGGGAAGGAGAGCAGCATCGAGAACGAGATAGCTGTGCTGAGGAGGTGAGCGCAGTCACACAACCACACGCACACGCAGCCCGGCTAATTCCTGGTTACCGGGGCAACTGTGCAGTGCATCTCCTCTGTTACTTCTACGCAAAATACCCCTCCATCCATCCATCCATCCGTCCCCCGCCCCCAGGTCACGATCCACACACACACATCGGGGCTGAGCAGCAGGATCATGTGAATAGAACTGTACATTTTTCAAGGAGCCTGGGAATAATTCATGCCTTACGCTCAGAAACAGGCGTTTAGTTGTGAACGGATGAATGTGAATGCCTAACCTCCAATTAGGGTTTCTTTTTACCATCCCGCTGTGAGAATAACGGTGCATCTGAACAAACCAGACCAATCCAGCTGCGGACTTCCCCCTTTACTTCCCCCCCAGCGTTCTGCTGACTCTCCCAACCAATCCCACCATGGATGGTGTCACATCAGCCGCTGTCTGTTGCTCACCCTGGACAGAAGATGCCTATGTTTAGCATCTGAAAGTGGCCCCAGAGGCCACGGCAATGCGACTGATGCAGGAAAGGAGAAAACAGCGGACAATAAAGCAACGTGGCACAAATCCCACGGCGATCCTGCGTGCCTGACTGCCGCATGCATCTCTGTTGACACATCAAACCATTCAGAGCGGCTTATGTTTTGACACATATCATATGCTGCCAGCGTGTTGTGGCCCTCGGTTGGCGCGCTTTCACTCTGTCAGATACCAGTTAGTTTTTGTAGAATGTGTTCACCTTCAAAGACTGCAGTCTGTTTTTCACTTATAGCTGCAAGCATCAAATATGAAATAAGAGAAATCACATGTTTAAGGATTCTAGTCTGGGAGAAGAAATGCCTTTTCCATCCTTCATTTCAAGTGTGAAGAGTCTATGAAAAATGGATCTTCCTGGTATCACTGGGATGTAATAAGAGAAAGAAATGAGTTCTTTAAATTTTATCGAGAATCTTACCGGCTGTCTCAAGTTTAGTCTGACAGCATGTCGGAGTGACATACCTCGTCTTTTTAATGACACTTTGAAATCTAAGCACACTGGAAATGAATGCCTGACATGTTTTATTCATCTTTTCTTTTTATTCAGTAACCTGATAGATTGCTGTTAAATTATATCTTCTAAATATGTCTTTTTTGATCATGTATAAGAGACTTTAATTTTATTCAGTCAGTATTTTATCCACCCATTTACATTAAACACAGCAGCACGCTTGAAAATAACACAGGTTAAACTTTTACTTATATAGACATGTACGGAAGAGGATTAGGGCCACTGGAAAAAAAAAAGTTTGCTGATTTTAAAATTTTATTTCAATTTAGTATGGGAAAAAAGTCAGAATTCTGACTTTTTTTCTCAGAATTTTGACTTTTTTCTCAGAATTCTGACTTTCATCTTAGAATTCTGACTTTAATCTTAGAATTCTGACAGATAACAAACATGTTAGGATCAAGCCATAGCCATGTCTGTTTTAGAGACTAGCTCTCTTGTTTTAATGACCTTCTGCTCCTCCATTAATGAGGGGACCCCTCGGGCACGTAAAATGTTTCCTAATTCCATCATTTTCCACCAATGTGTCACTGGCTCTCTCAAACAACTCACATCTTTGTCAGTGAAGCTGAGTGCTCCCACATCTCTTCCTTCATGATGCCCATCTACATTAATATCCAAAATTCTGAGATTAAAGACAGAATTCTGACTTTTTTTCCCATACCATACTGATATAAAGTTAAAAAATCAGTTTTTTCAGTGGCCCTAATCCTCTTCCGTAGACATGTTATACATCCTTAGAAAGATTAGATTTTCCACAATTCAAACGCCAAGTTAATTTTATGGATAGCATGATCACCAAAGCACAATTAATAAAGATATAGCAGCACGTTAAATCTGAATTTTTTTAATGAAGTTTTGGCTTCCTACCTTTGAAGCTTTCCTGAGGCCATATTATAAATGCAATCTTCAATTTTCATTTGTCCATAAGGGTCCACAGATGAAAAGTAATCCAGCATATTTTTATAATGAAGACGTTCCATGATGAGAAAATCGCTGCATGAAATCCGTTTTGTCGTTATACAAGTCTCAGTTGTAACAAAAAACATTCAGTAACTCAAACTAATGTTAACAATGGAAAGCAGGTGAAGGTTTCGCCAATGGATGCGTTTCTTAACATTTAAAGGAATGTGTAGCAGGCTTGTTAAATGCATTAAAGGTATTTTGGAGGATTTATTTACCTGCCCTCTCCACTTAAAAAAAAATGCACATGCAAGGGCATGCACAAGCCCATTTCTCCTCGTGCACGCCCTGTTTAAAATGTGCTGTTCTAATTGCTTGTGCAAGCTTACTGTGTCCAAATACCACGGGGACTATAGGGTGGACTTTAGCAAACTCAATTAACTGACTGTTCAGACAGATGATCACTGCTTTTAACTCCCTGTTGCACTCGTAACTCCTCCTCCACTAATCTTTTTTTTAAGATTCTAAGTCATTATTTTTGTTCAAATACATGTTTCAGCTTAGATATGTTTTTGAACAAACTTTATGGCCCCATTGTAGCCCAATACAGGAATCCTATCGTGCATATCATGCGGCGTATCCCACATGTTGAGGAACCGTTACGATCCCTCTATGCTTGGTGTCTAGGATTGCCTTCAATTCGATGATTCGATGCAAGCAGCTGTTTTTCCTTAGAAAACTTTAAATCAATTTGACTGGATGATCTGATTTAATTGTAGAGTGTCTGGAAACGACGTGTTGTGAATTGGCGCAATATAAAAAAAACTGATTTGAATTGAATTGAGCACTGAATAAACTTTTTTTATACGGCTGATTCTAAAGACAAAGACAGTTATTAGTGGTTCAATATGTTTCAAAGTCCAGCTGAAATGAGAAATAAAGGATATGTCGAGATGGAACCAACACATACAATATAATACATTCACAGGGAATTATTAAAGGGACGCACTCAAGTCTGGTGCAACAATCGAGAAGTTTGATGCAATTAAAAGCCACTGGTTGACTAATTTGTCTTTACAGTGGAACATTAGGAGAAAATTGTGGTTGAGAGAGTGAGAGAGAAAGCGAGATGCTGACATTTATTTGGATAAATGGATGTTATTACTGCAAACAGTTCAGAGCATCCATAGCAGTTCTATTGAGTCTAAGACTCACAAGCTTGGCTTATGAAAACCTAATGGATTTCCTCAGAACCTGAACAAATGACACTTTTTTATTATCCAGGAAGCAAAGGTTGGAGTTTTAATAACATATCTTTGCAAGCAGTTTTTAGTATTAACTCATGGAAATATCATCCCAAGGCAAACAGATATATACAAAATGTAGCCATAAAGATTAAAAGATTAATCTTTTTCATTCTAACTTAATCCAATTGTAAAATTACTTAATTATTCTACATAAAGCATAACTCATTCTTTATTATACACAGCAAAAATTTCTATAATATCCAATTTTCTTCTTTTCAGAGAAAAGAAATCGGCCTATGAGATAAGGGAAAGACACTAATCCTTAAAGCCTAATTAATAGTTAATTAGGCTTTTAAATAATTTGTTTAAGTGATTGTATTCTTAAAAGAAGTTAAAAAAAAAAAATCTTAATCCAAGCCATCTGTTGTATCTAGGACTGAAACAATTAATGGGATTAATCGGGATAAATCAATTAATCGTCAACTAATCGATTAATTGTTGATGGGAATGAGGAGACTCAAAACATGCTTTTAGCTGATAGAGCAACCCACCTTGAGCAGCAATTATACCAAATAAAAAAAAATATATGCAGACTTTTTGCATTTAAGATAAGAACAATTTCCAATTGTCAATATGCTCTATCCAGAAGTCCTCAAGTGTAAAAATTTTAGTTTAGGCTGGTTTGTTTAGGTAAAAAAATCTTCTTTAAGGAACCTTTGGCTATCTGATTACTAATCGAAAAAATAAATGACAGATTAATCGATTTACAAAATAATCGTTAGTTGCAGCCCTAATCTTATAATTTGGTAAATAAATCTAAAGATGAGCTCAAATATCTTTATCTGGGTTGCTTTTTCACTTTGTAGAAATGAAGATTTGGAAGTTGGTTTTATTTTCCTGAAAATATTTTCTTGGCAATACAAAATCACATGATCAAACTGTAAATTGTGAAACAATAACAATGTTATCTAAACTTATCCAAGTCCATCAAGTCGTTGAATTTTCTTTTATTTAAAGGGTTGTTCTAGCAAATTAAAACACTGTAAATTTAATCCAGAACGTGTTTATTGAGATTAGGTCCATTGTACGGAGTGAATTGTGTTCCATTTTTGGATCCAAGTTTTGTAAATGGAAATTCAAAACATACATTTAATACATTGAAATAATAAAAAAAATGTAATCAAGAAATGAAACTTTAAAAAATATATTCAAGAAAAGGTTATGAGAATGCATTTTATTAAATTTTTTTCAAATAAATATTTTGTTTTCTTTTATTTCTGTTTTTCAAACTGAGTTTTGAAATTTTCATTCTTTTCAAATTATTTTACGGATCACACTCTTCATGTCGAGCCTGATGCAAATGCTCCCTCTTGACTAATAAAATGTTTTTTCTTTAACAATTATTAACAGTAGTGACTGTACTTGGGCTTGAAGTGTAAAGAATATGGTTTGCAAAATGCTATTTGAAAAGAATACAATTTGTAAAACTCATCTGAAAAACAGAAATTTAAAACAATAAAATGTGAGAATACACATTCTTTAAAATAAATAAAGTTTGAAAATATCAAATTTGAAAAAAAAAAGAAATAGATTTTTTCCCCCTAGGTTTCATCTTGGAAAACAGCTAAATTACTCTCAAAACATTTTTTAGTTAAGATGTTTTTTAAAAGTTTAATATCCGGATTGCGTTTTCTTTTCCAAATTTCTATTAAAAAAACCTGTTATTTGCTTGCAAGAATAATGGCACAGACTTCACTCCATACACTGCCCACCTTTCCCTCCTAGACCTGCTGCCTCTGGGGCCTGACTTTAGATAGCTGGAGGACAGTGGATGATTTTATATCAATATTTGGACAAAACCTAGAAAAATGACACATAGAACACAATCTAATTCATGAGGTAAAACATCTGTCTTTCACTGGAGTAACAGAGTATGGTTTTGATCAGTGCATTTCAACACAGCAGTCATTGAGAAGTCCTGGAGCAACAGAATTTTTTCTTAGGCTGTAGATTCAATGATATCTAACAGCTTCAATGATCCGTTCTAATACGGGAAATAGAGCCGAGTGTTACTGGAATCAAACAAATGGTCCAGATTTGAAGATTCTCTTCCCCATTTAACAAATCCTGAGAAAAAAATGAGTGAAAAACTGAAATAATTGGAACAAAATGATTAAACATTCTCTGATTGTCGTCACCCCTTTTTTTTTTTTACCCTATTTTTCCAAAATAAGATGTCTTACCGTGCTGCTACAGCTGTGACAGAAATCTGTGAATGAGAGCAGCTCGTAACAACGTGGAGAGGCTTTTTTTGTGAATGCAACCCGACTCCGGTCTACCATTACACCCAGGCTGCTGTCTGCCAGCCCATCATTATCCCAGACACGGCTTAAATCCATGCATTATCCCCTTTCAACACGGGCTCGTGTTGGTGTGGGCGTGAGTCACGTCGTAGCTCTGTGGCTCATCGCTCGCCTGCCGTCCAAGGGTTCATACGCTCTAAAAAAGTGTTAGACGTCTCACCTGAGAACCCGCAGTGCATGTGTGGGTTTGTGGGAATTACCTCTACTTACAATGCAGACGATGATTAAAACCGCAAGCCCTCATGAGCTGAATCTGGATTTTATAAGCTTTAAGCTATGAGGGTAACACACAGTAACAGCTGGTGAAAGCACCCTCATCATTTCTCCATCACTTCTGGGATTAATCTGGGATTCAAAGTTTTTTCTTTCTAGCTGCAGCTAGTAAAATTAGTAAAGCATCTACAGGCTAGTAGCCGTTTTCTTAAAGAGTTGAATTCTGACTTTATATCCAACAGCCGTCTCTGTCACCAGCTGTCATTTTTATAAATGGACATAAAAAAATAAAAAAAATTGTTACAGCAGCTGCAAACTGATTTTAAATGTTTGAGTTCAACTTATGGTGTAGATGATGTTCATTCAAGCTTCACTGTCAAATGTTAGCTTAACTCATACAAAGTACTGTGACCTGATATTCCCGATTTCCGGGGACAGTCGTCGTTTTGCACCACCTGTCCCCGACTAAGGCTACGTTCCCACTGCAGGCCTTGATGCTCAATTCCAATTTTCTGTGAAATACGATTTTTTTTGCGTTGCTGTTCATATTTCTAAATATATGCGACTTGTATGTGATCTCCTTTGTGAACTGCAGTCGTACAACGCAAGTGTCCCGCATGCGCAGTAGAGGATGCAATGACATCACAGGCCAGCGTGTTCTGTGTTTACAGAAGTAAAAATGGATGGTAGCATCTAGCAATCTTTCCCAACCATAAAAATACATTCTTTTCAAGATGGTTAAACATAAATACTGCTCTCCGCATCATCGTCTGCCATGGTTGTTGTTCTTCTGGCCGCTTTTTCTTATCAAGACCCAGAATAGTAACCTGTGTCGAGAATTAATGGCGTTCAGGTCGGATGAATGCGACCTGGCCATTGAGACACAGGTCGCATTTGAAAAGATCAGATTCGTATCGGATTCAGGACCACATAGCCATTGTCTGCCATGCTAGTATTTAGAGAATTATAAAGACGATGATAGAGGTGAATGTTTTTTTCACTCATACACAACCTTCACGACACATACTGTCACAGCATTTCTTATAAGGTGAATTTGCATAATATGGGACCTTTAAATTACTTAGTGATGAAAACAGAACCCCAGTTCTGCCCCGGCAGATGGCCGCCCACACTGAGTTTGGTTCTGCTGGAGGTTTCTTCTTGTTAAATTGAGTTTTTCCTCTCCTCTGTCGCAACAAGCATGCTTAGTGTGACGGATTGCCTTTCAACTGGTTTTCCTTAGATGGAAAACTTTGAATCAATTTGACTGGGTGAACTGGTGAACTGGAAAGTGCCTTAAGATGACATGTGTTGTGAATTGGCGCTATATAAATAAACTGAATTGAATTAAATTGAATTTAATTAACCAATTTTTAACTCTTTGAAAGAAGAGTTAGCATGAAGATGTTTTGCTAATGTTACTAGCTGCTGCTAGTAATTTTCTATGTTCTGCCCCTGGATGGGGAGTGAGATGGGGGTCTTCTCTTAAAGTCGATCATCATCTTTTCTTTCCGATTGGTTCCTTCCACAGAGTGACAAAAGTTAACTCACTGTTTTCTTTTGGTTTGTCTTTGCTTTTGCAGGATCAAGCATGAAAACATTGTGGCTCTGGAGGACATCTATGAGAGTCCGGACCACCTCTACCTGATCATGCAGCTGTGAGTTTATCTTCATCTTCACGTTGTGTGTTTCTAGTCGGCCCTTCAAACTGTTGATCTTTGATCGTGGGATTGAGTTGCTCTACCCTTCTGTGCCAGGTTAGAGCAGCTTATACAAGAGCAGGAGTTGGTTAGGAGGTTTGGCCCTGATGCTGGAAACAGTCTCTCCATTAAGGTGAAAGTGGCAGATGTGGATTACGCAAGAGTATCTCTGTTTACAAGGCATTGTCAGCGGATTATCTGTGCAGCCACATTTTTGGGTTCTTCTACCAAAAACAAAAAAAACAAAAAAAGAACGAGCTGTCCTCACTAACCACAATGAGTACTGCACTTTTAGGTCTAATCGCAGGGTTTCCTCTAGGAAATTCACGAATATCAAAAAAAAGACAGTAATCAGAGGTGAATAAGTGATTATAGCAATGTGGAAATCATTATTTTCAGAGAAAAGAAAAGACTATATTAAAAGCTCTACTGTATTTTTTGGACTATAAGTTGAACAATTTTTTTCATGGTTTCGCTGGCCATGCGACTTGTGCGACATATATGTGTTTTTTTTCACCACAAGGGGGCGCTTTGTACCATTGCACGCAACAACATGTATTCTATTAATACCACTGAAAGAAAAAATTTTACACCTTACCACAGTCGAATAACTTGATCCTATAGGCCTGAGGCTGCAGACCCTATTAGATGGTTTTGTTTTGCGTTTTTAAAATAGGCCTATTTCTTCTTTTAAGATAAACTTCATTGTTCATCTCCAGTGTTGTGGTCTTGCTATCATATAGTGGTCTGAATTACGTTAATTGTTTTTTACTCGTATCGGACAGGCGCACTTTCTGCCTGTTTTTGTTCTGCGTTGTTTATTTTCTTCTTCAGGAGAGGACCGTTTTCACTAACGTACCTGTCTTTGGAGATTATTTTATTTGATGGAATATTAATATATATAAATATATAAAAAGTTGCGACTTTTAGTCCGGTGCGACGTATATGGTTTTTTTTTCGTCTTCATAATGCATTTTTTGGCTAATGTGACTTAAACTCCAGAGGGACGTATAGTCCGAAAAATACGGTAGCTGTGTTCCTATGCCTTTGAGACAGTAACAGTAGAATGATGGCTGCTTCCACATGAAGTTGAAAAAACGCAAAAAAAAGACAGAAAAGTCACAACATTTGTTTCTAGTCGCTTGTTTTGGAAAAAAAGTGGGTCTGACGTCAGCTATAGCAACAGCATCACTAAGGTGGCAACACTGGACATCTTCATATCTCCTGTTTTCCTTTGCTTTAAGCGAGGCATACACTATACGATTTTTTGCCCTTTTCAGGCTGATTCTCCAGTCGTGGGAGTTTTTTTTCAATCAGGCCGAATTTCAGCATCATGGTGCGCCGTGTATTGTACAGGGCCTAACGAGGAGCAATCAGCCTCTCATGACCTACACCCGATCAGGAATCATATTGTCGGGAGAAAATCAAACGTGTTTGAAATTCAGTTGGTTGTCGTAGGATCGCATCAGAGTGTCGGGCCACACAGTGTGAGAAAATGCATCGTGACCTATGAACTTTTAAACCCTGTGGTTTAAAAGTTCATACAGTTTGAGCTGTAGCTGAGTGCAACGATTGAAAATATTGCAGTGTATTCCCGACATTGGAGAGCAGCTCAGCCCACTATAACCAGCTAGCTTTATACACTAGACAGCTTAACAGAAGGGCTGTGTTAAGTTTTCAAAATAAAGTACATTTGAACATTTAATTATATTTCATTTAATTTTAAACTCTGATTATTATTAGAATAACTGTACAAATATATAATATGCTATATTATATCCTAGGGCTGAGCGATATGACCTCAAATCAATATATATATATATAATCTAAAGAAAGAAACAACTGAAATGCAGATAAACATGGTTTTATCATATTTTGCCCGACTGCTCTGAGCATGTCTGATGATGACGTCAGAGAAGCAGTTTAACGAAGAAAATGTAAAAAGGATCAAAATTGTGTCAAAAAAGTCATAAAACATTTTTTAAAGATGTGTATTAGCATTCTTTAGTGAGTTAAGGATAGAAATAAGTAATTTCAGTACTATTATTATATTATTTATGGAAACCCGGATGTATATCTGTTCACGCATGAGCAGGACTGATTGTGCTTCCGGGACGGATTGGGTAGTGACAGGCACCACTTTTAAAAAGGTTGAGGAAGTTCGTTATCAGAACAGGTCTCAGCTGCCCTTTGTTATGGTGAGTGTGTTAATTGGTTAATTTGATTTGAATTGAGCTGATCACTCTGGTAAATGTTTGGTTTGTGCCAGGTTAATAAAGAAAATGGCTTTGAAGTATTTTATTGTACTAAAGACGAGGACAGGATATGTAACGTAAACCAAGATAATCAATAAAAAGTAAGACAGACTATCGGCTGAAGCAGGCATTGGTAAATAGACTCAGATAAAATGAAACAGAATAATTGAAAATCCACTATAAGGTGTTTATCTGGTTCAGTGGTTCTCAAGGGATCAACAGGGGTTTGCCTAAAGATTTTTTAGAACTGATTAGTGACCTTTAGATTATATCTTATTTAAATAGAGTTATAAGTTGTTTGGCTGTTTTTTTACACTTGATTTTTGTTGTTTAAATAGTAATAAATATGTAAAAATGGATGAAAGCATCACCGTCCCCGTTTCCTATTTTAAATTTCACGATATGCATTTATTTTCATTTACAAGCTGGAAATGTCCCCAGATTAGATTGCAGGAATCTGGTCACCTTACTCTTCCTCCATTTGGTTTTCCCCTCTCGGCATACATCGATCGCTCCTACGGTCTGAGAACAACAAGAGGGACAGATGAGAGCCAAATAGAGTCAGTGTTTATAAATTGGAAGCTTAGACACTGAGTTTTGCTCGCTGAAGAAGATGGATAAATGTTCCTGTGCTTGTTGAGTCCAGGAAGAAAGATTTTATCCACATTGGCTACAAGCAGCTCTTATCTAAACAAACACCTCACATTGTCGACGTTATGATTTTCTAATGGCTTTTTTAGTTCATTTACACGGAATTTAATGCATTATTTACTGTTATATTTATATGGACTTCCTGGCAGGACGGTCTAATTGGCAACTTTTCAATTTCTCTCCAAAGTGTGTTTTATTTTTGTGGAGGTGTCTCCCCTAATAAATGAATAAAAGGACATGAAGTTGATTTATGTAGATGACGTTTTACTTTTATGTTGCTTAGATAAAAGCCAACTTTCTTTTTTTTGCTTTTTGAACAAACCTCAAACCAGAAATTTTAAGACAAAGTTAATGACTTTATATATTCGTTTCAGCTGATATTTTTGGCTTGAAATACCTGCTGTGTTTTTTTTAAACATCAATTAAACAAGAGTCTCAGACAGTAATTAAGATGCAAATCAAGCTTTGTGCTGAGCTGTTACATCACCTGAAATCCTCCAAAGGTCCTTACTTTAGTTAAGCTGTTTAGCTTCAATGATAAAACCACTTAACCAAGTATTTCCGCTTCAAATGCGCATCCTCCCACCTGTTTATGTGTCTGGTACCTCTTGGCTGGTGATGGATGTTGTCCACTGGCTCCAATTATTGGCCAAGGTTGATGCTGGAGCAAGAAATATGGATGTAGCAGAAAATAAAGCAGCTGTTTTTTCCCATTTAAATCTTTCAGACATGTTTTGAAGTGCTATTTAGACTTTTTGCATATAAATTCAGAAGATTTTTTTTGTCTAAATGGGGTTGGTTAAATATAAAACTCACTGAATAGCTTTAAAGATGCCGTTAACAACATTTTAAATAGGTGTTATGAAGTCATCCAGCTGTTGATGACAGCCTGGCTAAGAGATGGTGCAGAAAAGGCAGAAGGTTTTTGTTTTGTTTTTTTTTAGCACCAATTTTGGTGTAACATTCAAATACTGCAAAGATCTGACTTTTAAAATAAAAGACGTGAAATCAAGAATAAACTGCTTAAATTGGCTACCTGACTCTTAATTTATTCTTAAATAGTTAATTATCTGTGTCTGTCCGTTCCATTCTGATTTTTATTTTGCCATCTTCCAAAATGTTACATTTTACACTGTAAAAAAAAAAAGAGAGAGAGAGAAAAAGGTTGTCCAAACTCAAATTTAAAGGGAAATTACTTGCAAAATCTAATTTTGATGTAGCTATTTCAGCTTATTTCTTTTTGTAGGCAGACCCTTAAGCTTGATTTATGCTTGGTGCGTTTGGTCAAATGCTCATTTTTGGGGGCAGTTGCTCAGGTTGGAAACCAGGATTATACGTCACATGGAGCCGCCAACAGCCAAACACCGCCTGCTGACGTTTAATGATGTTCCACATTCCATAGGTAGTAATGCCACACTGGTGTCATTTAAAGATATTCTGGATTATATTAGTGGATTTTAAATTGTTATTTATTTAAGTTTTTTGGGTATTTAGGACAATTTGCAGAAGATTTAGATTTGAAATATGAAAAAAAAAAACATAACTCTATTATCTTATTTCAAATGCATATTATGCAATAATGTTGTTTCAAAGTTAAAAACTTTTACTCCATTAACAGATCATTTTATTTCCCTGTTCAGATTACAGACAAATACAGTTACTTTCAGAAAATTTTTGATATTTTTGAGGTCATTTTCTTGCAGTCCAAGATGTCTGTCAATAAACACAGAAATGAAATTGAAAATGCAACTTCATGCACACTGCCCACTTTAACTGAATAAAAAGTTATTATTTATGAATTGTTATCATTTGGCGTTATTTTTGCTTTTAAATTAAATGTTTAACAGATAAAAGGTTAGTTGTGTGCTGTAGTTGTCATAAAAAAGTCAAATAGATGACATCAAGGAGTCCCTAATAGGAACCATTACAGCAAATCAATAGTTTATCTAGGAGATGCGCCTGGTAGAGCCCACTAACAACGATATACTATGAACTGGTTGGTAAAGGAGGTAAATATGCTTGTTTCATTATCTGGACGATTAGCTGGCCCTT